TTAATTTTAGCTTAGGAACTATACCCACTTTGCTTAGTAAAATTTCGAGATATTTAAAGAAAGATAGCAAAACATATAAGAACCAAGAAATCGTAATTTTACTAAAATAAGCAATGATAGACACAAATCCGAGTATTTGGTTGAAATAATGTAACACGAATTTATATAATGTATATATATATTACTGTTATTATAATAATAAATAAAATATATAGAAATTGACAAAACACTGTCCAATCAATCATATTTCAGGCATGCAGCATAGCCATTTTCGTTTTTTTTATTTGTTTAAAAAAATTAGTGCAACAAAAATAATTTAATTTCAAAAGAAATTATTGACATAAAATTCATTATAACTTTTTAAACAAGTAAAAAATTTGTTAGGTATATATAGTTAGGTAGACAAATAAACAAACAATTAACTAAAGAATTAAAATAATTAATATTTCAGGCATTGCTTGTAAGGGTCCAACTTTAAAATTAATTATTTCTTCTTCTTTAATAATTTGTTTTTGTATAATTTAATAAAAACTAATTAATTTTCTTTTTTGCTTATTTTTTTTGGTTGGAAATTAAACAGTAGGGTTTAATTATTAGTCACAGGACATGTCACGCAGGTCAATAGGGAGTTGTAAAACATAGTAAAATTTGGATGATCTGCATCATAGTAAAATTCGAATTTACATAGTAATAGTAATAGTAAAATTTTATAATCGAATGTCTTCACACCCTCGTTTGATACCCTTGTTGTGTAGCAACCACCACCAAATTTGAGATATAACTTCCTTATTATATTGACCCTCAAAGTCAAATTTTGCCTTTATATTCATATATGTAGAAATTTGTTTAATGCGTCCAATTGCAAGCAAAAGTAGAAATACATTCCAAATAATTACATTATTATGAATATTTAGTTTTGTTCACCTAGCTAGGTATGTCAAGTCATTTATTTTAAAAATAAATACAATAAATAAATAGATATTAAAATTTTTCTTTTATTCCTACATAAATTATAACGATTAGAATAATTAGATAATTTGAACAAGCAACAATAATATACCAATTGTCAAAAAAGGAGAAGAGTAATGTAAAGAGACATTTAATATTTTTATTAAAATGTGTCAACGAAGTGTGATTTAAAATCAATATTAAATAACATTGCTGCATATCAACTACAAATAATTTTCGAATATGATGCGCAATAGAATTCAGGCTTTCTTTTGAATCTAAGATCACTCAATTTGATCAAGTACTTAGCAAGATACAAAAATATATGGTAATAGGTAAATATAAAGAACTATTGCATCTTTTTTTAATTTTGAAAAATCTATTAATATTAAATACTTATTTTAATTTATATGGATGGCATTTTCATTTTTACATCAAAATAAGCACCAAACCTGCCTATCATACAACTATTGAATGCCTGATAAAACATTAATCAATTTTATTTTACAAAACTTGTCTTCCAAGCTTGTCTGGTGTTGGTTAATAAGTTTTAGAGAGATTCACAAAAAAAAACAGTTTTATAAACCTAAGAATATTGAAGACAGTAATGGTAATAGTAATATGTTTTTTTTCTATAATATGTAATATTATTAATTAATATTTCTTATATATATTTAGGAATGTAATTAAATTAAAAGATATTTATTTATTAGTGATTCTGATTTTATTCATTTAATTACATATCAAATATATAAGTTGAAAAATTTTTTTAAAATTTCATTAATGATTATTATTACTTGAGCAATTCAATGTTTTTATTTTTATATTACAAGATCAATTTCTATGATCCACATCCCAAATCCTTTAATAAATATCCTTTTAATTCAACTAAAATGGCAAGTTTTGGATTAACTATTACTACCACCATAAAATCAACCTTATGAATGGATATATTTATGTCTAAAGGTAATAATAATAATAACTAATGGGTTAAAAAGACTTACTACATTAATAAACAAATGTATTTAATACAAATCAATAAATAATTATATTGTTTTTTTTTTGTTATGAGCCAAATCTGAAGTACAAGAATATATAACAATAATTTAGCAAACACACATAAGCATAAATCAGAGCAGAAGGTCATCATAATAGAGTGGTATTTTCATTTCAGTCAGTTCAGTATTTTATTAATTATAATTAAAAAGTCTGCATAATAACAATATGTGATCTGTGAGTATAATGAGTGTTATGACTTTGGCTTTCAAATCATTAACTTAATCCAAAAATACAAATTTTTGTATGCAGAAATTAAAAAATCCAAGACAATTTTTTTATAGATCAATGAATTATAATCATGTATAAACATAATATGTATATCAAGAAGGTAATAATATCAATGTTTTTATTTCAATCAATTGAATTCGGGTGAATTGTTATTGAACAATTAATTATACAAGTCAATATTTCATAATTTAGGCATATATTTAAATTGGTGACAATGTATAAAATTTAATTTTTCTGTTTAATTGTAAATTGTTTCCTTGAGAGGAGAATTGGTCTTTTTTGTTAATTGTAAATAAAAAAGAAATAGTTTCTTGGAAAGAAAGAGAATTGAAAAATTAATTTTTTTTGTTTAATTGTAAATTGATTCTTTGAGTGGAGGATTGACACTTTTTTGTTAATTGTAAAAAAAAAAAGGTTTCTTGGAAAGAATAATTTGTTGTTTTAATTGTAAATTGTTGAAAAAAGAAAAAGGATCAAAATAAATTTTTTTTGGTTATCTCTTCACATGTATTAATAATAATTCAAAGAAAAGAAATTTGATTTGTAAAAAAGTATTTGCACTAAAATTCCTAATTAATTTAAGAGAAAAAATTTTGTTTATTCAAATTACTGATTCCTATAAGTAATAACAAATGCGTCTTGCATCACGAATTGCATCTGCGTCAATGTGTCAAATCTATGATTGGTGACGCAATGTTCAATTTTCTGGATTTTTAATTGTGTCTGACACAATTCAATAATTTTGACCACATGTATAATTAAAAATCACTATGAACAAACAACAATAATGTAAAAACTAATAATTTGATGATTTTTATTTTTTTTAATAAAAAAAATTTATATCTAAAAAAAATATAATATATTTACAAAAAAAAGGAAAAGAAAATTTATAAAATTTCTATCTTCAGTTTTTTTTTAATTTCAAATAAAAACTTATTTAAGACTATTTCCACCACACCACCATCTATCATTGCGGTAACTTTGGAATTTTGATCAATGCTATTTTTTAAATTTGAAATGATTAACTAATTGGTTAATAACATGTCAAATCAAACCCTAATAATAAATCAAATAATTTTAAGAAACCCACCTGCTTGGGAGTTGAATTTCTAATTTATATTTTTTGTATTTATTCTCCATTATGTCTCGGTATGTTCCTTCGAAGGATACTTTTTGATTGTTTTGTTCATTGATATATATATCAATTTCATTTATTGTTCTTATTCCTGGTACTAACAATAAAACTATAAACTTTTCGCTTTTTCAAAAAAAAATTTTTTGTTAGACAAGACTGATGATGTTGAATTGAAATAAACAATACAACTAATTATTAATATACCCTTTATCCAAGACATTAAATAATATTTGCCCTGTTGGTGGTTGTGATGGTGTCAGCCCATTGTTGATCTTGCAGTTGTGATGGTGCCAGTCCCGTTGGTTGTGATGGTGCCAGACCTGTTGGTTGTGATGGTGTCAGACCTGTTGGTTGTGATGGTGTCAGTCCCATTGGTTGTGATGGTGCCAGATCCATTGGTTGTGATGGTGTCAGTCCCGTTGGTTGTGATGGTGTCAGTCCCGTTGGTTGTGATGGTGTCAGTCCCGTTGGTTGTGATGGTGTCAGTCCCATTGGTTGTGATGGTGTCAGTCCCATTGGTTGTGAACTTGGTAGTTTGCGATGATGTCAGCCCCATAACTATTGATCTTGGTGGTTGTGATGGTGATGATTCTACTCGTGAAAACATTTTATCAATTTTTTTTTGATTTGGATTAATTGACTTAGAAGCAGCCACATGGTCTTTGGTTGTTTCATGCCTAGTCAGCACTTCTCTTCTGTACCTCGTACTTCCAACAGTTAATGAATTATTTTTATTTGAGGACATACACACCTTACAATACATAAGATTGTTTTCAAAAGTTAACCAAAAAAATTCAGTCAACCAACCATAATATGGTTTGGTTCTGGTTTTGTTAAAGTTGCTAACTTAGAAATAAGTTAATAAATTAGTTTCGACTAAATAAAATGTTTTTCTTAAATCACTAAACCAAAATTATTCACTAATAAAACTAATTCATTAGTAGCCAATTCATTCTGATCCACACAAACAAAAATAATTGTTATCACCCATTAAAACATGCTTTCCCAAATTTAATCAGTGACAATATAAAAGCTTGTAATTAATCAACGAGTGTAGCTAAAAGTTAACTCAAAGCTCAGCCATAAATGAAAAATAATCAAGGTTGACCAAAAGTTACCCTCACAGTATTACAGGAAATTTCATTGCTACTGCTATATATATATTAATGTTAATATTAATATTAATAATATACATTAATTATTTTGAAACATTATTGAATAATTATGTAAAAATAGAATAAATGTACAAACGCACAAGATAATAACAATTTTGATTGCAACTCACTTTCAGGAACAAACTGACAAGCACTGTGCGCTGTATGAGGTAAAAAGGCTTTGTTGCTATTTCTTCTAAACATTCACACTCTTTGATCATCAATAGGTTGACTCTAAAAGCATTTCTAGAAAGTGAATTAATCTTTACATCTTCCCATTTTGAGATGAGTCACTTGATAGAAAATAAATCAGGATGATATCATGGTGTGAATGAAATTTTTTTTTTAACTAATAAAAATGAATAAATATTTTTTTTAGTCCAATAATAATTTTAATTGTGTATGTTGTAAAATATTTATTTTGTTTTTTTCCAAAAAAAAAAAAATAATAATTGCTTAGTGACAAGTCACATCTTCTATATATAATAATAATAATAATAATATTTGCAACAAATGTAGTTTTCACATACCTAGCTAGCAAGGTAAAAAACTGAGTATTTGGATTGAGAATTAGGTCATTTAGCTTGATTTTTTATTTTACATTTATTTAATTTAAGCAAATAAAAAAATTTGATGTTGATCATTTAAAATGTCTACACACATATTTTTTAACAGTGTCTTTACTGATACACATTCTGAATTAACTGATTTAAAAGAAGCTTTTGCTGAACTTAAAAAAAATTATCAATCTAACTCATATATTAAAGAGAAAAAAAATGAAACAATTGTCTTAATTGAAGGAGAAGGAGAAGGAGGAGGAGAAGAAGAAGAAGAAGAAGAAGAAGAAGAAGAAAGCAATGATGAAACAGAGATATTGTCTAAAGAACAAATAGAAAAATTTAAAGATATTTATAATAAAAATGAAATAGTGGATGATGAGTTTATTATTTCTGATGAACAAGAAGAAATGGATCATGATATAAACCACTATGTAGAAAATTTGCTGAATGAAAATTGCTGTTTAGAAAAATGTTTGAAAGAAAAATTAAATTTTAATGACATTAAAACTAGATATAAATCTTTCCTTGATTTAAGAAAAACTGAGCAAGATAGTTTTTTGAAAGGTATTCTTTCTGCTAGTTTAAGAGGTAAAGAAACTTACAAAGGAGAAAAAAGAAGAAGATTAGCAAATGTGTATTATTTTGATGGAATAGAAATTTGTAAAACTGCATTCAAAGGCATCTATGGTATAGGAGAAAAAAGATGGAAAAATGTCAGAAGTCATTTTGACAATTTTGATATACAATTAAGAACAAATTTATTAACAGGAAAAGTAAGCAATAGAGCAGTATCATTTGATGGGGTTTTACAGACTATTAAATTTATATTAAATTATTCTAATATAAATGGACTCCCATCTCCAGGTAAATATAGATTTTTGATCAACATTTAATTTGAAAAACTAAATTTTGTTAATTAAAGTAATCTATTATAGGAAGAAGTTTTAAAAAAGACACAAAACATATTATATTCCTTCCAGCAGATCAAAATCACACTACTGTTTTTAAATATTTTATTGATGCAATTGAGGAAAATTCTGAAATGTATATCTCAGTTAAAACATTTCGGAAGATATGGAAAATGTATCTTCCAGAAATAAAATTTCTTACTCCAAGAAGTGATTTATGTCATATTTGCAAAGAACACAGGTTCAATGCAAAATATTGGACAATAGAAGAAAAAGAAATGAAGATTAGAGAATGGAATAATCATATTACATGGGCAATGAAGGAGCGTGAATATTATAGGTATTAATTATGTATGATTGTAGTTTTTTTGTTAAATTTGCTGAGTTTATTTTTAATTTTTAGAGTCTGTATAAAAGATGCAAAAGAGGCATTTGAGAGGTTGGGACAAGATTCAAATCCCACTAGATCTGCAAACTCATGTGATGTTAAAGTTCATATTTCGTGGGATTTTGCAGAACAGGTTCATATTCCATATTCTTCACAACAAGTGGTATGCAATATTATTTTTATTTATATATAATTTTTTCAAAGGTAAATAAATTTTAAATTACTTTATTAAATAAATAAACAGGGGAGTTCATATTTTAAAGCCCTATATAAAGTTCAAGTATTTGGCATTTGTGAAGACTTCAAACCCAGACAGGTTAATAATTTGTTTTTTGAAAATTTATTAATCAATTTTTAAACTACAGTATATAATCAATATAATTATTATTTAGATCAATTATCTTATAGAAGAATCACAACATGTTGGTAAAGGAGCTGACACTGTGATTTCTTTAGTTCATAATTATTTTGAACAATACAGTCTTGGTGAAGAAGAAATAATAATTCATGCAGACAATTGCTCAGGTCAAAATAAAAACAATGCAATGATTCAATATTTGGCATGGCGGGTACTAAAAGGCAAGCATAAAAAAATTACATATTCTTTTATGGTAGCTGGCCATACCAAATTTAGCCCTGATGGTTTTTTTGGATTGTTTAAATTGAAACTTAAAAATTCTGAAGTTGATGATTTAGAAGATCTTGTTAATGTTGTAGAATTATCAACAAATGGGTATAATAATGCCCAAACCATTTATGATGAAACTGGTGAAAGAAAAGTTTTTTTCCACAACTGGACTGAATATTTAAAAAAATATTTTAAACCATTACCAAATATTTTGAAATATCATCATTTTATTTTTAATCAAGAGAAACCAGGAATTGTATATGTTAAAGAAAGGATTGATGGAACATTTAATTTTATAGATATTAGTAAAAATTTAATCATGGATCCTATTTTAGAACAAAAGCATCCTGTAGGTTTAACTCCTGACTGAAAAAAATATATACATGAAAATGTTATTCAATATGTTCAAAATTCTGATAAAAAAAAATTCTATTTAATGTAAATTATTTAATTATTTTTATTTTATTTTATATTATTACATTATATTATTGTTATTATTTTGTTTGGAAAATATCCCCCTATTTTTACTATAAATATGGAAATGATATACGAATACCGAATTTTTGGGTCAAAATCTCTTTTT